CCCCCCCCCCCCCTCTCGCCACCTCGTGCTTTCTTGTTTTTTGCAGATGACACCAGAAGAGGCCGCTGCTAAGAGAAAAGCCGCCGCCCTGAAACGGAAACAGATCAGGGACAATGTGAGTGGTATGTTCAAAACTACAGCAGTCGTATCGTAGGCCGTCTATGTTGCGGGGATGCGCCACACCGATTCTCCCGCCCTGTGTATGCTCCCGCCTTTTTCAATGTGTAGAACAACTTGGTTATTCCGTCTGTGCGAGCCAACTTTCCCCGCCTTTTGGGGCCGCCTTACAGTGGGCCTTCAACTACTGTGTATTTTCACTGCTTGCTGCACATTGATGGCAATATATTTGGTGCCCCATGCCCATGTCTTGTTTGGTACGTGCATATCGCCTGTGGTAGATTCGCATTTTTTTTTTTTTCTTGACGTGTTGCCTCTTATTGACAACGAGAGAATAAGAATGATGATAACAATGCATCAGCGACACACGTGACGGGAAATCATGTGAAACCGCATCCTTGGCGAGATCACTTGGTGTCAGTACCAATGATTGGGCTGTATACTGCGGTCTCGCCACGACAGTCCAGCGTTGGTGGTGGTGTTTCTAATTTCGTTCGCGATGTTTTCAGTCTGACAAAGCTCTCCAACCGTAACGGAAATAGTGGAGTGGATGTGTCTAGCTTGTGATTGTTTGCATATGCAGGATACTTCGGGCTTGCTGAAGACCAAACGTGGCCAGACGCGGTCGTTCTTGAATACTGACGGGTTTTTTCCTGCCTTTCGTATGCGTAGGAAGCTTACTTTCCTTTTTTCCATGTGCTTTGTCGGCGTGGCCAGTGGATTAACGGGCATCTTCTCTTTGGTCACTTCTTTTCTGCAGGCCGTTGTTTTCGGTGTGTACCAATCCTGCCTGCCCCTCAAAAAAATCCAAACAGAAATTTCGTACGATTTGTTGATACAATACTCGTCTTCACCCCGGCTACTCGTGCCGACCGTGACTCCTTGACAGTGTGCTGACTGTTCGAACATACTTGTATTGGACATGTACTCGGTGTATGCGTACATAACAATCATCTATAGATGACGCCGGAAGAGAAGGCCGCGAAAAGGGAGGCCGCTGCCCTCAAGCGGAAGGAAAAATTGGCCAATGTGAGTCGCGGCACTGGCGCCGGCGCTGGCGCTGCACTAGTCGTTTTTGATCGCGTGATCGTCCCTGGTGGTGTAGTTTTTTCTTTTTTTTCCGTTCGTGGAGTGTCTTCAATTCCGTTGTTGATGCAGGTTTTTGTCTCGTTGATGGTATTTTTCACGCTTGTCGTACACTGGATCTATTGTCTTGGTTCAAGTTAGTCGATACCGCAGCGGTGTTTTTTGTCATTGCCGTTGTTCATGGTAGTCAATACCGTTTGTCGGTTTATTCGTTGAGGCCGTTTTTGTAGCGCCCGCGTTCGTTGTTGCTGTTGGCATGGACCGCTCGCCGTGTCTGACAGATGAGACACAGGTGTACAATAGATACCTCTTCGCTCGGAGAGCAAAACGGCGACACGTCGCTCGGAAATTTCCCAGAAAAATTTCCCATATGTGAAGCTATCTCCATCTGGAGTTCAGAGTGTGAACTACTGCTTGAGAAAGTTGCCCTGAGTAGCGCCTGCTCTCGCGACGTGCGTCACCGGTCGTTGTGTAGATGCACGAGCCAATCGGAGACCATGAAGGTGTGTGTTGCCATGCATTTTCGTGTTTGCCCTAACGCCCCGAGTCTCTTGTGTGGCTTTAGTTTCAGCTTTTTTTGTCGTACCGCAGTCTCATATTTGCTGTTTTTTTTTGCGTCTTGGCCGTTTCTTCAGATGTTCCTGGAGGAGAAGGCCGCGAAAATTGTTGTTTTACTCCGGCGTATATGATTATTTTTTTGTTTTCATCGTTGTTTGTTTTTCTGTTATATTTTTTTTGTATTTCTCCCATGTGTCTTGCCGGTTTGTTCAGCTGACCCTGAGGGAGAAGGTGCGAATATTGCTGTTCCCTTGTTTTTAGTTTCGACTCTTCTGGCATGTCTGCGTTCTCTATTCTTATTTTTTTCCTTATTATCCCCGTGTGTCTCCTCGTTTTCTCTTGTTCAGATGACCCCGGAGGAGAAGGCCGCGAAGAAGGCAGCGGCGGAGTTGAGACGAGCGATGAAGCCTAAGGTAAACCGGACAAAACTTTCGATATACTTTCTCGAACGGCCAGGATGTTCTTTCTGTGGTAGCATGTTTCTTGCTTTTCGGGCGTTGCGCAGTTTGTGGTCACAGTACGGAGTGACTCGCAATTCTCGCAGTCTCACGACGGAGTTGGAGGCGCTGTTTAATCGTCGCGTGTCTTGTGCATTAAACAGCTCACGCCGGAGTAAGTGGCTGCACGTGTTCAAGCTTAGACCCCTCATGTTTCCCTTGTGCTCCGTGTGCATTAAACCAACAGCCCACACCGGAGGAGGCGGCCGCGAAGAAGGAAGCCATGGCGCTAAGGAGAAAGGAGAAGAAGGAGCGAGAGCAGAGGGCGTGGGAGGAGCAGGAGGCCAAGAAGAGATTTGAACGTCTCGCGGGCGCCAGCCTGACGATTGAAGACCTCGAAGCCGGAGGGTGGACGGCGGGTGGCGGTGCCGGCAGCATCAAAATCTCCGATGTCAGTTACAGAACGCGCCACCACTCGCGAACCTCTTGTTTCGTCGCGAGTCTTGGTTCTGCTTTTGTCGATGGGGTACTGCTGTATCCGTACGGCGACCATGTTGTTGTTGTTGTTTTTGTTGTCTTCACATTACAAACCGTCCCGTCCTCTATGCCCAGTACCTTCTGTCCGTACTAGTCTAGCACTTGACGGGGTTGATTCCCGCCGTCACAGGCTAACTTACCCCAAAAAATGATATACGAAAACATAATGGACAATACATTTTGGTTATAGTGTAGCCTTCTTCGCTGAGCACCTGTTCCTACCACCAACCTCTTGCATGTTAGTTTTCGATGCTAAAGTTCTTGGTTAGTTTCTCAGTGGCAGGGGCGGCGCGTTCTGTACCGTAGTAGTTCGCAAACGGAAGATATCGCACACTCCTTTTTTCTGGTTCTTTGTTGGGGACAGATTTTCAAGGTCCGATTACTCCGCAACGAAAGAGGGTACCAGTTTCTTCCGGTGTACAAGACACACGTGATAATTATCATTTTTGCTCCTGTGTGGCGTTGCGTGTGTTCCGTGTTGCTTGTGCAGCCGGTTTATTTGAAGACAAGACGAAAAGGTGATCACTTTTGCTCTTGTGTTGCGTCGCGTGTGTTCGGTATGCACTTGCTGCCAGTCCGCGCCTTCGGGAAGGCGGTTGGGCGTCGAAGACTCGGACGAGGAGGAATTCGAAGGGTGGGAGTTCGTAGAAGAAGGAGAAGAGGTGAGAACAGTGACTTCTGATTGGTCAACGTTGCTCGCGACACTGGGATTGGATGCCGTGTAGGTAGAAGACAGAGAAGTGGTTAGGGTTAGAAAATCTTATTGGTCGATGTTGCTCCCAACACTGGGAGTTCATGGAAGAAGGGGAAGAGATGAGAGAGTGACTTCTGATTGGTCAAGTTTGCTCATGAAACTGGAATGCATGCAAGAAGCAGGAGAGGTGAGAAGAGGAAGTTCTGATTGGTCAACGTTTCTCACGACACTGGAATGCGTAGAACAGGTGGGAGAGGTGGTGATCGGGAAGTTTGACTGGTCAACATGCTCCCAACACTGGAATGCAGCGTCCGTGTTGGTGGAAGACGGAGGCATGTGCGGGAGTTCTGATTGGTCAACGTCGCTCTCAGCATTCGAAGAAGAGTCTGTTAGTTTGTGACGGAGAAGAGAAGCGACTTCTGATTGGTCAACGTTGGCATTGTACGTGATCGTCACAGCATTTAGTATCTGTTTTTTCTCCTTCGTTCCCAAAATATATGCAGAATGCAAGGCGAGTTGTTGGTTATTGGTGGCGATGTGTGTTCTTCGGCTTCCATGAGAACCATGACACGGAAGAGAACCCCACCCGTCAGTGTTGGCTGACGTTTTGTTGGGGGTGTTTCATCGTCTTTGTGCCAAATTTGCAAGGTGAGAAGTTCACTTCGGTTGTCGGCGTTGATGTGCGTTTTTTCATTCTTCGGTCAAGACCAGGAGATAGGGGAGGTGCCCGACCTTTAGTCCTATTTTTTTTGTGTGTGCATTTCTCCTTTGTAGGTTTGAAGGCAGGTGTTTTTTGTAAGTCTATGTTCGGCCAGGACGATGAGACGGACGGAGTGCCCTACCTTCGTTTTTTTTTTTCGGGGGGGGGGTGTTCCACCTCTTTTGTCTCAAATTCGGCTGCCGGCTTTGTCTGTGTATTCTTGGAGTGACTAGCATCGACCGACCTGCGTTTTTCGCTCTTCGGTCAGGATGATGAGACGGAGGAGGTGCCTTACTGGGAGGGCGAGGCTCCAACTTACGACGAGGACGGAGCGATTCAGGGGCTCGAGAAGGGCGGGCTCCGCGTGGCGAACGCTGCTCTCACCACCAAGGACGACACCATCGGGGTCAAGGTATGCGTGTGTATGTATAGTGGTCGTTCTTGTCGCTGTGTGGTCATTGTCGTTGTTGCTGCTGCTGTTTGTTGTTAGATGTTGTTTCGTGTAGCTGTTGTTTCATTTTTGTAACTGCTGTTGGTTGTTGTTATTGCTGCACCAACGGGGTCAAGGTGTGTGTGTGTATCGTGGTCGTTCTTGTTGTTGGTGCGGCTGCTGCTGTTGTTTGTTGTTGAATGCTGTGGTTACTGTTGTTTTCGGTGGCTGTTGTTGTCAACAACTGTTTTTGTTTCGTTGTTGTTGTTGTTGTTGTTGTTGTTGTTGTTGTTTACTGTTGTTGTGATTGCTTATGCTATTGACCGTTGTTGTCGTTGTAGTTTGTCTTCAGTTTCGACAGGCGCTTCGTGTGGCACACCTGGTCAATGTACTCGTGGCACACAGCCGGCCTTCATTTCCCATTGTAACTAAAGAGACCAGTTCCCATGGACAACTTTTTTTTCTTTCTTCCATGATTCCTGGCAGTAGCTTTTGCATGAAAAACAAAAACCACGAGCTCAAAGACGCCGTTTCGATTGGCGTTTCTTCCCTGTTCATTGCATCCTTTGTGTTCCACGAAAAGCAGTGGTTTCCCACGGCCGAAGAAATTTTGCTGTTCTTCGTTCGCTGTTGATTGCGGTACGAAACAATAAAAAAAAACGGATGATGTTTAATCAATAATTTCTTCCCTGTCTGGCGGTATGATTTTTGCGTGGAATGAAAGTAACAATAGATTCGGACGACAGCAAATGTTGGTTCTTCGTTCCCTGTTGATTGCGGTACGAAAAAAAAAATTCCTACGGATGATGTTTCATCTATGATGTCATTATTTCTGCCTTGTCTGGCGGCATCTTTTTTGCGTGGAAAACAAATATAAATAGGTCCCCACGGATGGAAACAATTGTTGGTTCTTTCTTCTCTGTTGATTGCGGTACAAAAGAATACGAAACATACGGATGATGATCAATCTATGATTGGTATTTCCTTTTTTCTGCCCTATCTTTTTTGCGTGAAAAAAAATATGAAGAGGTTGTCATGCATGAAAACAGTTGTTGGTTCTTCGTTCACCTGCTGATGGCGGTACAAACGAATCAAAATCGTATGGATGATGATTCACCTACTTTTTCATTCCCTATCTGGCGGTAACTTTCCTCCGTGGGAAAAAAAAAAAAATATATATATATATATATATATATAGGTTCCGACGGACGAAGAGTTCCACTGGTACCTCCTGAGGTGCTTCGCGACGTACGAGATGCGGTGCCGCAACTCCGTCGAAGCCTACCTCGAGGGTGCCGGGCTGGGCGATCGGGTGGAGGAGATCTGGGTTCCCTGCCGACAGGTGAGTGAGGACATGAGAGAGACGGGGGGGCGGGGGGCGGGCTGTGATGTGATATTTTCGGAATCTGGGTTCCCTCTCGACAAAGGAATAGTGTGAGTAAGGCAGGGAGGACGGGAGAAGAGAGAGAGAGAGAGACAGAGAGAGACAGAGGGATAGAGAGCGACAGCGAGAGAGGCGGTGGGTGAGGGAGAGGGAGAAGAGAGAGAGGTGGGGGCCGTGATGCGATATTCCTGCCTGAGTAAGGGAGTGAATGAGTGAGCAGAGAGAGACAGAGAGAGAGGCCGCAAGCCACGGACGTCATGTTGGTCAGCCGGTTAGCGCGGTCAGTGCAAACAATACACCCACGAAAGCAGCTAGTGTATACTATGTCACTCGAAGCGCTTGGTCAGTGGTCGCGCGCTCTAGTGAAATTTGTACACAAAACACAGTCCCAGCGTCCAACACAGAAACGCCTTAGAGAGAAACCTTCACAAGCGATGGTCGTACTGCACACCAACAGAACGCTGGTCTTTTAGCTTACGGCGCGCGAGAGCTCGCGGGTGGAACGGCCGGCGGCGAGTGGTGTTGTTCTTTTGTTGATCGTAGAAACGTGAGGACTGCACCAAAGGCTGCACCCCGAAGTACATTGGTTGTTGTTGGTGTTGGTGTTGGTGTTGGTGTTGGTGTTGGTGTTGGTGTTATTGTTGTTGTTGTTGTTGTTGTTGTTGTTGTTGTTGTTGTTGTTGCTGCTGCTGCTGTTGTCGTTTTTGTTGATGTTGTTGTTGTTGTTGTTGTTGTTGCTGTTGTTGTTGATGTTGCTGCTACTGTCTTCGAAACGAAAATTTTTTCGTTATGACCTCTTTTCCGTTCCTCCTCCGCCACCCCTGCAAGTATTTTGACCCTGGCCCATGGCTTTTCCGAATATTGTAACGAGCAATCTACGTTCCACACCTGGCGTGCCCAAGAGTTGAAAGTTTCAAGACTAACGTGGAAGAACTGGACACTTACGATCGAATCGAATGCTCCCCCTATTGTTTCCAAGTGTTACTTTCGGGTGCCTGTGTGAGAACGTGTCCAACTGCTGTGGCTGCTGTTACTACCGCACCTGCTACGAACATTCCCTCGCCCTTGTTCTGTTGTTGTTGTCGTTGTGGTTCTTGTTGTCTCGAGCAAATAAATCGATGTGAGCTGTACCCAGGTTCTCGTCTGCCGCCCTTTGAAACGATTCTTATCGTCGCACAAGCTGTTCCGATATCATTGTGGTGGCGCATGGCCTGTCGAATACCCTAGAGGACAAAATGCTTAAGTGTTAGCTGTGTCGCCGTTGCAGGTGCCGAAGCAAGTCGGAAAGAAGGTGACGTTCAAGGAGGAGCCCATCTACCAGGGGTACATCTACTGCAAAGTCAAGATGAGCCCCGAGGTAAGGATGTCCTATTTTTGCCATAGTGATGTTTTTTGCCCAATATTGTGCTTATTTGCTCGCCGGTGACACGAGTAACGAAGTGGGATGCGAAGTACCTTTTATTATTTGTTGTTGACCCGTCCGTGACGTGGTGAACATGATAAAGGTTTGGTTGTTTTTGACAGGTCCATGACGTGACCATCGATATGTGGTGTTGATGATTGTTCAATGTGTTGATGACCCATCCCTGACGTGTGTGATGGCATGCGAAGGTTTACAGAAAAATATGTAGTCACAGAAACTTGTATATTTTGGTTGGTTGTTGATAGGTCGGCGACACAGCGAACGACATGCGATAATGTTTCCAAATTACAAGTTATGGATACAATTCCAGACTCAGTTTGATTGGTTGTTTGGTCAGCAGGTGTGTGGCATGGTAAACGGCATGCGATAATCTTGACTGGTTGTTGTTGACAAGTCCGTGGCATGGTGAACGACGTGCTACTATAATGTTTACGAGTAGAAGTTATAGATTCAAAAACAGACTTAATTTGATTGGTTGTTGTTGACAGGCCCGTGGCATAGTGAACGGCGTGCGATAATGTTTACAAAGCAGAAGCTTACACACAGTTACAGACTCAGTTTGATTGGTTGTTGTCGACAGGTCCGTGACATAGTGAACGACATGGACAGGATCGTCGGTTTCGTCGGGGAGGCGAGGGACGAGGACAAGAAGCTCATCCCGGAGAGGATGGATCCAGAAGACATCGAAGGCATCAAGGCGTCGGAGAAGGCTCTTGGGGCCAACAAAATCGTGAGCTTTGTAACTAGACTAAATACCTCTTCTTTCTGTAGCGTCCTTGGTTATTGTTTTTCATTCCTGAGCTTCCGTGAAGTGAGACACACGCACGAAAAAATGAATGCCCAACCCTCATGCACCGCAAGATCACAAATAAGGGAAATTTTTTGTGTCATGTCGTCGGTGCTTCTATTCGCGTATATCGCTATGCATGCGGTATGCTTGGTTGGGCTGTTGCCGAGCTCTTTTTCTACCCTTTATCTACCTCGTCGCGATCACCCGTAGTTCTTCTTTTTTTCGTTCACAGCCCCAGCTGCTGGGAGTGGGCGACCTCGTGGAGATATCCGAGGGCCCGTTTGCCCTCAAGAAGGGTGAAGTGTCCAAAATCAAAGACGGTGAGAAAATACCACCAGGCACTGGTCCACCGGTGGCGCTAAGTATTTTGTTCTGATGCGGCAGAAACCAATCCTGATACCGCGGAAACCAATTTTTCCTTGTTCTTTGAAGTGTATTTGAATGTCATGGATACTGTAACTTTGCTGTTATTTTCGCGGTTGGTGCATGCTACAGATTGATCTGTGGTGTTTTCGGCGAAGAACAGGAGCCCTAGTGAAGCTTCGAAAATCAGTCCAGGGGGTGTGTTGTCTTGTGCAGTATGCGGTAACTCCGAGGTTGAGGTTGCTGACGTCAGTTGCATGAAAACTGATGCGACGCTTGCAGAAAGCGTTCGCATAAACGAAGTGAACTTTGTTTCGATTGATTTCATGACACTGCTGTCTGTGCAACGTTATGTTGATATTCTTCGTATGACGTACGCAGGAGAGTACGTGGTGAAAGTTAACACCTTCGGGAGAAACTCTGACGTCAGGCTCGATTGGAACGGAGTCCGAAAGCTCACGGAGCTCGAGGTGGAGACGTGGTTTGAAGAGACGAGGCGGGTGAGTCGGCTGGACAGAAAAGGATAATAAAAACCATATGTTGAAAAGCCTTGGCGAGCTGAGGCGGCTCAAGGTGGAGACGTGGTTCGAGAGCGAGTGGTCCAGTTGGACAGAATAGGGCACATGTTGCAAAAATAAAACGAACAAGTGAAAAGATGGGGACGTGGGTTCAAGAGACGAGACAGGGTAGCCGATTGGAGGGTACATCCACAGATTTATAGTCTTCAGACGGGAATCGAAGGTTGAGGTTTGAAGATGTACAGGGTGGGTGGGACGCTTGGTCAAAACAAGCCAAAACGAATATATGTTGAATAAGGGTGTCGCAAGCTGACGGGACTCAAGGTGGGGGCTTGGTCTGAGGACAAGGTTGAGCTGATTAGACACAATAGAGGACACAATAGAGTGGAGAAAAACAAAAAGACTGCGTTGTGGTTTGAAGATTAAAACTGGCGATGTACCCGTTGGACGAACAAGTTGCCTATAACATCTTGAGGAGTGAACCGAAGGCTGACAGAGGTCCAAATGGAGACGTGGTTTGAAGGTGTACAGGAAGGATGAGCCAATTGGACAGACTTGGCTGTACACATTCACTTAGACAAGAGGACGCGGAAAATTGAACCGAAAAAAAACTGTAGAAAAAGGATTAAAACGTTACCAATTTCATGAAAAGCGGACCCTCAAAGTCATCAATTACTGATATACATATCTACGAGTTTCACAATGTGGTCAAGCACGTTTCCTGTACATGCACGATGGGAACCAACCATTCAATCAGGCGATGGACGCTACCTACATGGAGCGGCAGAGCGGAAGGGGGGGAAGGGGCAGGAGACGACGAGGAGGGGGCGGCTTCGTGTACGACAACGACAGCGGCTACGAGCCGGGCCGGGGCAGGGGTAGGGGTAGGGGGGGGCGCGGACGAGGAGAGACGGCCGCCGCAGGGGGGAGGTACGCATTTTGCTGTTGTTTTGTGTTGTTTTTTACCTTCAGCCGACAATGCATGCATGTTTGCATATGATTGTTCCATTTGAATGCGTCACAGAGATTTTTGTTTGTTTTATTTGTAGTCCTTGAGGTTTCGGCATGAGTCTTGGGGGGCTGCACAGAAGGCTTTGGAACGGCGAGCGTTGAGCGACACCAGCTGGATCTGTTTAAAGCGCAGAGTAGTGCTTCGACTTTTCGAAAGGAACCACAGTAGTCGGGCACGAGCGATATTCCAATTTTCAACCTTGTTCACAGTGTACCGGGATGGGGAGGGTGGCAATACCAACACGACCCCATCGAAGCGTTATTCTGTCGCACACGGCTTCTTAGTCACTGTTCCCCTTCATTTTATTTATTGAATGAACACATACATCATGACCATCTCTATGCGTGAATAAGCGTCTTTGTAAGTATAAGGAAATTCTGCATCTATCAAAATATGCGGTTCTAGGATCAGTTGGTAGTGGATACTGCCTCGTGCGCATTGTTTTGTCAACTTTTTTTTTTTTTCAGATAGAATTTAAATAGAAGCAATTGGTTATGAATCATTTTTTCGCAATGATGCTTTCATCTATCTCTATCCATTTTGTTCACTTTAGCAATGAAAACGTTGTTTTTTCCCTCGCTCCACGATGGGAAGGGGGCTCCGCGGTTTCGACGAGGACGACGAGCAGGCTGCAGACCGCCGTCGGTTCATGGAGAAAGACCTGGCGATGTGGGAGGCCGAGGTGGCCAAGCCGGAGACGCGGTGAGCGCGTCATATGACGTCATGATGAAGGTCGAGATGGTACTTCTATGCGTCGTGACGAACGTCACACGAGCGTCACGACGTGGTAACAAGAGTCATAAAAAGAAGCGTCATGAAGCCTTAAAAATCGCCATAGCAGACGTCATGCCGTCGTAACAAACATCGCAACAAGCGTCATCACAAGCGTCATGGCGTCATAACAACAAACCCCGTCATTGCTTGCGTCAGGACGTCCAAACAAGCGTCATCACGAGCGTCATGAATTTGTATCCGAATGCCATCGCATGTATCAGGACGTCACTACAAAACTCGTAACATGCGCCATGGCGTCATGCCAGGCAGGCCGATCGTAACTGCTGTGTATGCATGCCGTGCCTATGACTTCGCCGCACAACGGATACCCGGTGGTTTTTAGAAAATGGTGAGTAGAAGATGATGAAGTTGGTCCTCTCCCCGAGTACTGAGCAGAGACCGTAGCTTTTGTTTTTTCAAGGCTGCGAACCAGAACGCTTTTGGTTTCGTAAAGGCAGCAAGCAATACACACTCCCCGGGTTCTGAGCGGAAGACGGGGACAATTTTTTGTTGTGAAATCAGCCTAACAACAACCGAAACGCCGGCTGAAACTGGATGGGCTTGACTGAACAGGGTGCGGCGGCCGACAGGCGACAGAGTGGACGCCGAGCTTCCCGAAGAAGCGTTTGAGAGCAACAGGGACGCTGACGACTTCTTCGACAGGTCGGTACCGAACATGGATTCCCCTTCCGAACCATGCTGGCGGTCGAGTAGATGATGGCGTGTTGTGCGGGGTCGATGACTCTCACTCCGCGCGAAGGGGGTGATCGCTGTGTTGAATTGTTCCAGTACCCTTGAGGCAATTACACCGTGCTCGTGAGTGTCTCTGGAAGTGAAATAACCAGAAAATACATAGCGCCATTCGCAGCTGTCATCCGTGTGCAAGGAAGTAAGCACAAGATGCCGAACGCGCGCAGCAGGATGCAGCGCACCCTTCATGCGACTCGCCGAATACCTCACGGCGTTTCACGCTTGGTGATGTGAGAGCCTAGTCCGGTGAAAACCCACCGTGCTCTGTCTCGGCTATGTAGGGATCCGAGGCCAATGGTCTAACGACTACGGCATGCACGGCTTTGAGTACCCCGTCGGTGACCCCCCCCTCGGTGTTCCACCTTTGGCAAAGTAGAAGGAACGATTGGCCATCGGTGATCGGTCCTGTGGGAACAATGCTCCGTCCTCTCGAGGACGCGTGATCAATGGTCTAACCGCTAAGGCATGCAAAACA